AGATTTTGTGGCCCTGGCTATGTTTCATACAGCTCCTAGGCCACTACTGGAGGCAAGAAACGCTTCAGTAGATGCCAGCCTCCAGAGATATTCACGGGGCTCAGTCCTATTAGTTGCTGACTTCTGGCTCACAGTTCGCCTTTCTCTCAGGCATGACTGAAATGGTGCGGAAAATCACCCTGAGTCGTGCCGTGCGGATCATGCAAGAGCTGTTTCCTGAGGAGTACAACTTCTACCCCCGTTCCTGGATCCTGCCCGAGGAGTTTACCAACTTTCTCACAGAGGTGAGTAGTTCCTTTGTTCTCTCCTCGAAGCTGCCAGCCAAGGGAGTTGTATAGAGACCCCTGTAAGTTCACCTGGGTTGCTGGTGCAGGCCTCTGGGCATTCTCCGAAGTTCTTCTCCTGAGGGTGAATGAAATCGATACACAGGAAGGCATGGCAGCATGTATCCCCCCCCCAGCCCCTTTTGCACATTCTATTGCCTTTGTAGGATCCATGCAACCCACAGAGGCTTTCACAGACTTGCCCCACTGAGCCAGTTTGGTGTAGTGGTTAAGTGCGTGGACTCTAATCTGGGAGAACCGGGTTTGATTCCCCACTCCTCCACTTGCACCTGGCTGGATGACCTTGGGCAAGCCATAGTTCTGATAAGAGCTGTCCTTGAAAAAGAGCCGTTTCTGTCATGAGCTCTCTCAGCCCCACCTACCTCACAGGGTGTCTGTTGTGGGGAGGGGAAGGGAAAGGAGTTTGTAAGCCGCTCTGAGACACCTTTGGGTAGTGAAGGGCGGGTTATAAATCCAAACTCTTTTTCTTCTTCTTCTGGGTGGAGGGGGTCAGTTTCCTCACCAGACCTGTATCTGCCCGAGGCTGTGGGCAGCTGAATGGTGAGGGTAGCTGATCTGCAAGTCCCTGCAAGTTTGTGTCCTTGATGGATTGAGACTGGCACTGGGGTGGGATGCTGGGGCAGATTTCCTGGAGGATCCATCCAAGGACTGCAAATCTCAGCTGAGCTGAGAAGTTCAGGCTGGACCCAAAGTCGCTGGGAGGTGAGCAGGGGATCATTCTGGGAAGGCAGCTGAGGAGCCGGCTGTTGCCTCAGGCCTGACCCAGAAGCGCACGCGGGCAAGAGCAGCCAGTAGACCTCTTCAGGGGAGGAGCCACTATGGTTGCCAGCTGTTGAACTATAGCCCCACCCTGTCAGCAGCCTGATCTGCTGGGGTTAAAAAGGTAAAGGTAAAGGTTCCCTTGCCTGAAAGCCAGTCGAATCCAACTCTAGGGTTGCGGTGCTCATCTCCGATTCCAAGCCGAAGAGCCAGCGCTGTCCAAAGACGTCTCCGTGGTCATGTGGCCGGCATGACTAAACACCAAGGCACACAGAACGCTGTTACCTTCCCACCGAAGTGGTGCCTATTTATCTACTTGCAATTTCTTGCTTTCAAACTGCTAGGTTGGCAGGAGCTGGAACTAGAGACGGGAGCTCACTCCGTCATGCGGCACACTCAGGTCTCGAACTGCTGAACTACCGACCTTCCATAGCCCGCAGTTCAGCATCTTTAACACTTGAGCCACCGCAGCTGGGGTTAGCAGGTGACTAATACTCGTGTCAGTGCCATGGCCAAGCATGATTGCCGATGCCAGGCTTGGTTTCTGGTCCATTGCCGATGCTGTACCAGAGCACCGAACAAGAAATGCCAGAGTCTGGTCTGGTCTGGGCAGGTCCCTAAAAGGCAGCTCTGCACCCCCATTTGCCGGCAGCCGTTCCTGTGTGCCAAAGGGCGGCACAGCTCCCAGATATGCAGCACTTCTGCAGTAGGATTCTCACCACCACAGGAAGAGGATTTGAATTGCCATTCCTGGAAGAGCAGATGGCCAATAAAACATCTCTGCATATGGTCCTGTGTCTGTGTGGGTGGGGAAAGTAACAGCCTTGTTACCAAACATTGCAATTTACACCATTTTTGCTTATGTTGGGAGGATGGGAAACTCTGCCTTGTGAAGTTTTGTAATGGAACAGGAGATGCCGGCAGGAGCTCTTTACTGGTGGTTTATTGACGCCTCCTCCATATGGGAAGTCTGCGCGGCTGGATCTCCAGGGGAGAAGATGGTTTAGGGAAACTGCCCTTGTTTAGGCTTTCTGTTGTATATCAGGTACAGCAGCCTTTGGGTCTGAACTGACCCATCTGAGGGCAGGGAACCCTGGGAAGTGTAGTTCTGGGAGGGAGGGAGGGTGGTCTAGAGTTCTCTGCCAGAGACATCTCAGCAGTCTCAGATGATTACAGTTCCCAGAATTCTTTGGGGGACACCAGACCAATTAAGCTGCTATAAATGTGCAGTGCAGATGCATCTCTTAGTTCTTGCTAGCACCTTAGCTTCTTGTCCTGAAGCAGAGCGATCATGAAACCGCAGATGTGGGTGGCTCAAATCCAAATGTCAGGCCCTGCTCCTGACCCAAACAAAATGTAACACCCCCACAGCGACCTCTGTTGAGAGTTGAAATAGAAGCCCTAAAGCAGTCACCTGTGATTATGCCCTTCTGTGATACTTTCCTTAACATTTTTGCCCTCCATCCACTCCTGTTTCTGTAGTGTCTTACTTGTGTTTATTCCTGGAATCTCCACCAGGGGGCAGTGCACTTCATACCTTGAAACAGTAGGGAACAGGAACCCTGGAAGAAGGGCTGGAAGAGATACCCCCCAAAAAGAGGAAAGGCTTCTAGAGTCAACAAAAGGGCCAGATAAAATATTAAAAATCTTCAACCCTACCTCATTAGTCTTGTGATCTGCCTTCTTGTGTCTGAAGCATGTGGAAGGTTATGTGGTAGGGTTTTGATGTTCCCACCAGTGCGTGCAATGAGCCAGAACATACTTATGGGACCAGATCCCAAGGACTCACTGTCAAGTTGATGATGTTTTCAGGGCTTCTCATTCCATAGACTCAGATCCTTGCAATTTCCCCAAGATCACGAAGGTTTTCCCAAACCCTCCAGGCAAGATGAGGGAAGCCACCTCAGAATGACTCCAGCTGTACAGTAGTGACACAGGGCTACCTCTCATTGGGACCGGGGGGGGCAAGGCTGCCCTGAGGGCTGGCAGAATCTCCTGGTGGCACCACCAAAGAACAGACTCAGAGAGGGCATCTCGAAAGACGCCCACAGCTAGCTCACGGCCTCTCCCATCCACATCATTCTAGCACAGACTCGAACAACCTGAGACCCTCCAAGCTGAACATGGGCCTCCATCCCTATACAGCAACTCACTAGATTCCTTCAGTCCCACAAAGGCAGAAAAACTGGGAGTTTAGTCAAGTCTGTGGCAGGCCATACCCAGCTTGTTGTGGGATCATTCAGTGTAGCGGATCAGACATGAGATAGGCTACCGTGACAGAAACCCTGTGGGGAAGAGAGAAGAGAAGAGAAGACATTGGATTTATACCCCGCCCTTCACTTGGAGTCTCAGACCGGCTTACAAACTCCTTTCTCTCCCCCTCTCCACAACAGACACCCCGTGAGGTGGGTGGGGCTGAGAGAACTCTGACCCAAACTGCTCTTTTTCAATGGCAGCTGTGCCAGAGCTTGTGACTGACCCAAGGTCACATCAGCAGGTGCAAGTGGCGGAGTGGGGTATCAAACCCCGCACACTTAACCACTACACCAAACTGGCTCTGGGGAAACCTTCCTCGTCTCCATTGATACTTAAGGGCTGAGCTGGTAATTGTCTGAGACCGAAGCAACATCTCTGTTTAATGTGGGGTCAGAGTCCAAAATGGGAGTGGGTCTGGACAGCGGATTCCTGGGGTCCTCTCTGATTGGTCTGACATTAATTTATTTTGGCCTGCTTGCATTCTCCAGACCCTTCTCCCCTCCTTTGTCCTCCAAACATACCATGAGGGTGGCCGGGAGGAATCCTGGGAACTGTTGTAGTCCTGTGGCTTCAGACTTCGGGCCAAAGGAGTTACTGCAAGTATGTGCAGCAGTGTCTGGGGGAGTATTGATCTTAGCATCCCTGAATACCATTGTGATGGCTTGGTAGGTTACAATCGGTGTGTTGTTGTAACATGAAGAGTGTGACACACACTGGGGAGACCCAGGTTTGAATCTCCACTCAACTAGATGACCCTGGAGGTCCCTTCCAACTCTATGATTCCAAGATTCTGTGAACCATGAAGCTCATTGGTTGGGTTTGGGCCAGTTGTGAGGATGAAATGAGAAGGGAGGGAAGAAAACTATGTCCTGCTCTGAGATCCTTGGAGGAAGATCCTACTAGAACAGCTGGGTCTGAGTCCAGTAGCAGCTTAGAAACCAACAAGATCTTTTGGGTATAAGCTTTCAAGAGTCAAAGCTTCCTTTGGCAGAGTGAGCTTTGACTCTTGAAAGCTTGTATCTTGCAGCTATTGAGGCCTTTAAGGCTAAGGTACTCTCTCAAATTCTATCTGGTGCAGTCGTCTGGATAAATAGTGTCTCTGACTCCATTGATTATCGACTCTTACTGTACCTCTGACAGATTGTTGGGGTACCATCCTGTGTTGTAGGCAGGAACTGTGTGAAGAATGGAGTTGGCCCAATGCTCGCTGGAATGTAGGTTTTGTGCCTTTAAAGTGTGACTGAAGTCTCTTTTTTCCAGCATCAAACTGCTATGGAGGTCTCTTACATCTTCTGAGAGAAGACATTTACAAAAGTGCCTGGGCTAAGCAGACTCGACTGCCTAGGTCTAAGCAGGCTCGACTGCTTGACTCACCCATTATCTCGCCTGCTAGATCCATTAGCATTTGTATGACAGTGAGCTGACATATGTCTGGGAAGCAGTTGAACTGAGGTCCCTCCTCTCCTGCCTGTTCTCTGCCTAGAGGAAAAGAAACCTTTAAAACGCCCAGTGGAGGCTTTGCTCATCTCAAGCCTCCCAGGAAAAAAATGCATTTCTTCACAGTTCTCATTACGAGAACTTTGGATCTTGCCCATTTTGAGCAAATATAATCTTGCCATTGAACCCCAGACAGTTTCTTTTCTGTTGGCTGATGTTAACCCTAAGGTAACACAATCTGTGTCCAAGTGTGTCTTATGATATCATCTGCTATGCATTAGTGTGACAACTTGAAGGGTTTTATACCTTTTAATGCTATTTTATTAGTGATATAATGTTCTTAATTATTTGTAAATGTATCCAATGTGATCTGTGTTTTATATGTATTGTTCGGCTCAAGACCTCAGGTCAATTGTTAATAAAAGAAAGGATATTCCTCCCCTCCCAAATCTTGTTGATCTCCAATGTACTACTGGACTCAAATCAAACTGTTCTGTCACAGACCAACAGGGCTACCCTCTGAAGCTACCTACGAGAAAAGTAATTCATGATTACCTTCCCTTTCCCTTCCTTTTCCAGGTTCGTTTGATGAAGGACAACAACCCCTCCTGGAAGCCCACTTTCATTGTGAAACCTGATGGGGGGTGTCAGGGGGATGGGATCTACCTCATTAAAGAACCCAGTGAGGTCCGGCTGATGGGGAACCTCCAAAGCAGGCCTGCAGTGGTCCAGGAGTACATCTCCAAACCTCTTCTGATCGACAAGCTGAAGTTCGATATCCGGCTGTATGTCCTTCTGAAGTCTTTAGAACCCCTTGAGGTCTATGTTGCCAAAGATGGACTCTCTCGGTTTTGTACAGAGCCCTATCAGGAGCCTACCCTCAAGAATCTGCACCAGGTGTTCATGCACTTGACCAACTATTCGCTCAACATCCACAGTGGGAATTTCGTGCACTCGGACAGTAGCAACACAGGCAGCAAGCGGACATTCTCCAGCATCCTTTGCAGACTCTCTTCCAAGGGTGTTGACATCAAGAAGGTCTGGTCCGATATTATTGCACTCGTGATTAAGACTGTTATTGCAATGATCCCTGAACTGAAGGTTTACTATCAGTCTGACATACCAGCAGGAAAGCCGGGACCGTCTTGTTTCCAGGTGAGTTCAGAATTCAGAGAGACTGCCCTGCTGTTGAGGTGTTCAAAACAGGTTCTGTAAAGTAATGATTTTTCCACCGTAAGCCTTTGTAATAGATTGTTTATCTTAAACAGATCCAAATGGAAACTGTGTCCTTTGGTTAATTGTTCTTACCTCTTTTCCAAAGGACACAAAATGGTGTATGTCTCCCTCCTCCACGTTCTTCAGGTATGTGCCCTGCGGGCATCTAGTGTTGGATCAACCAGGATGATTCTCATTTTTGGGGTTTGTTCCTTCATCAGCCCAAGGGCCAGATTAAATTTTAGGCACAAAGGTGTGGATTTGAACCTCCATGGTGCCCCGTATAGGGAAAAGCCAGAATAGAAAAGTGGCAGGCAGAGAAAAAGGTAAGCCCTTTGCTACATCTCCTCCCCAGATACCTGTATCCCCAAACTGCTTTTCCATAAAAGAAACAGCAGCGGTGGTTTAAATACTCTTTGTATAATGTTTAGTTTGGCCCTGAGTTACATACTTCATCTTCTTCAGCCCCCTTCCTTTCTCCTCTTTCTTCTCCATTTCAGGAAACAATTTTTAAGATGTCCAAAAATAGTTTGAGAAAGGTTTTGTTTCTCACGCCATGTGCCCGCACATTTCTTTCTATCCCACTGCTTCCTTGGGAAACA